CCTGCGAAACAAAGCAAAAAGGAGCATATGTCTATAGGACTTTTTTTCTTAGTTTTTTACTCCTCTACACGCTCCCGAAGTTTTGCCATTTAATTTGGAAACACCCTGTACATATATGTAGCCGAGTAAATAATTATATTTATTTCTTGTAGATGTGAAAATTAAATAGATAATAAAATATAAAAATATATGACGAGATAACTGTTTAATACTCGAGCACAGATAAACAAAAGTTATCGTATCAAAGTAAAAAATTATTTTCAACTGTATACAATTCAATTTTCCTAGTTATCTCAATTAAATTATATTATTTTTTTATTCAGTTTATTATCTTTTTAAGTTTTAAATTCTTTATCTAAATTATAGAGACCACAACGAACATTTGATGAATAAATGTAGGAAATTGATTCAAATTGATAAAACATTTATATTTATATTTTGGTGTTACATTAAGAGACCTATTCTACAACTCTTAACGACTGCAACGATATCGTTAGAGTCGTTAAGAATTACAGAATAGCCCCCTAAATTATTTTTATATACGAAGCAACATACCGAAGCAACAATATTAAAAGCAACAAAAAATTTAAATATTAACTCATTCATAGTCAAAGATTTATAACTGAAAAACGATAGCATGTAATTCCCAAATCTTATCCCCTACTAAATATAATTATCTCTTTATCTTATCTTTTATTTTTTTTTTTTATGCAATATTCTACGTGATAATAATGTAGAAAACTTTACCTTATCTCCTTCGGAGATTTCAGCGATAATTTTACCATTGGCAGGATTTATTGTGGGAAATTTACGACCACTCGTAGCATCCACGAATTCATTGTCGATGAATAGCTATAAAAAATATTTGATATGATTAATAATGAAAAATAGATTATCGATTTAAAAAGTCGAATCATTGATAAGAAGTTCAAATGTTAGCAAAGTCGATAAAATGTTTTATCCTATTTTTCGCTATTTTTATATTCAATTTTAATTAAAAATTTATAAATAAAATAATTTAAATTATGTTTTTGCAACTTTCTCTACTTCAAATAAAGTTGATATATTCTTTAAATAACACTTAAAAAGTTCCTTTATGTAGATCACACAAGGATTATTCTATTAATAAGTCTTTATTATTCAAATATTTGCGATTTGATATATTTAGTTAAAAAAAAAACAATCGTTATACATTTTATGAAACAATACGAAATATCAACTTACTTGAGTATATTTAATTTGAACTTGCTTTGCCATTTTGTTCTCAGCGATGTTTACTCGGCAACAGTTAGCGAGTGAATGTCAGTACAAGGCCAAACAGGCGTTTATATGAATTAAACTATAGTAGGGACGACGTCATTACACATCGTTTAACAGGAAATGTTTTCTTCACACGCGTGATAAGATTGCTCTACAAGCCTTTAAACATAGCCTCTTTATCCGTTTTGATATCCTTTTCGGATCTTTATAACTACAAAAAACTTAATGAAAATATTATAATATTATATCAATAAATTTTAAAAATATATTAATATTATATATGAAAATATGTTATATTAATTATATTATATTATATTAACATTTTAAATTTTGGCGTTTTTTATATTATATTTCATATATGTTAGCAATATTTAAGAATATTCATATAAATATTGCTAACATATGCAAATATAACAAATGATATTACTCATATGCGCGTGTGTGGGTGTGTGTATGTGATTTGTATTTATTATTATCTTCTCATGTTATTATTTTCTCGTGTATCTTTATTTGCAATTAAATATTAAAAAATCGGTTTTTTAATCTCAAAAAAGATCACTTTATTATTTTCTTTATGTTTACTATTTTATATGACTCGTATTTAATAATTAAATTGAGTCGATTTATTAGATCTGTTTTTAGACACAACTGCACTAAACTGCACTAAAACTCTTTTTCTCGCTTTCGCCAATTATCAAATATATATCTAAAAGTGTACACTAGTTCAGCCACAGAAAACAGACTTCTTGAGAATATTACAATGTTCAATTATTTCTCGGTGAATACTCCGCATTCTGTTTCCTCCCTCTTGAACTCTAATTGTAAATATAGTTATAGTCCTTGATCTATTTTGAGAATATCATATAGCGAATTCGGATGCACTAGTGCGCATTGAGTGTGTTCAATCGAATTCGCTAATAGTTACCAAATAGTTAACTCTGTCAAATTATTTGCTGATAATAAAATTTAAATATATTGTTCTAACGTGATTTAAATTTTGAGTTTAATTATATATATATGGTACACTTAACGCAGTTATATTGTGTTAACTTCTCTTCAAATTAATGAATTTTTGAAAACAAATCGTGACAAATGTAAAATTAATGAGAAATAAACGTTTAAAAAACATTTAAAAAACATTGTCTGCTGATTGGATATATGGTCGAACTTACTTATCTGGTAATTTGTTATCAAGTAACATTATATTTAGACAACTGTTTGATTTGACAATCTAAGTATTGGTAAATATTTTTACATAAGGCATCTTCATGTATGCCTCAACTTTGATAAGTTAACCAGGTTATCAATATTTTCGTATAAGTTGTTTAAAAAAAGCCTTACATCATTTCTTTTATCAATATTTAATCAGCTACATTTTGTATCTTATTCAATGTTAAAAATGCATATTGCATAAATAGAAAAATATGTAAACATCTTTATATAGAGATACTTTTTTAATATATTATACGTAATATTATATTTTAATATACGTAAACATTTTTCGATAATCTAAGTATTAATTGGTACATTTTTTTAGTAGAGATATTTATTTTAATATTATAGAAAAATACGTAAATCTTGAATTTAGTCATTTGCATGTTATAACGAATAATAACGAATCAATTTTCTTTGACATAAAGAAAACAGGCAAGGTTAGTTTGAAAACATCACCCCTTCTTTAGAAAAATGGACGATTCGTCCAGCTATTCATATTAAATCGATAAATCCGGTTTACCAGACGAGCTTGTGGGCGACAGCTTAAATTTACAGAAATTCATGTATTTTATTGCACGTAAATGTACAATTCAATCCTGTACAATTGTATCCTGTGTTCATTATACCTTTAAAATATAAGTCGTAAAACACCATTACGTACATGATTTTTTAATTATCCTACGAAATGTCGGATATTCCAAACGGACACGATTGTTCTGACAGTTCACAGTACACTTTGCAACAACAAATTGAGGTAAGTTCTTATGTTATTAATTTACATAAATTAGAAATTACATACCATTGACACATCTGGTAGCAATGATATCTCCTTAATATATGTATAAATAGATTGTTCTTAAAAAGATACATAGAAAGTGTATGTCGAATGGTGTGTATATATTTATTGTATATATTTATTATATTTGCGTATAATTATTGTATTTATTCATCGTATTGTTATACACATATACACAATCTACTTTTCACCTTGTAACAAATTTTAAATCAGAAGACACAACCATGCCCTATGATGAAGCACGAATGTGGTTGCGGAGACAACGCCGAAAAACCTCCGTTTTATTTACCTCAACCCGAAGATGAATATCCACCAAAACCTGAACACACAATGGAACCTATTGGTCCATGGGCTACGGGCAAAATAACCTGTTCTCGCGAGGGTGGAATAACAGGTTTAAGGCCAGTTGCAGATCAATATTCCATCACTCGCTACGGACCAAGTGAATGGCGCGCGCACAATTTGAGTATCTTTCAGCAATCAAATGAGAGAATCTGCGATGCTCAGTATGTAGTTCAATATAATTTATGATTTTTTGAAATCGTGTCTGGAATTTGATTCGAGAATTATTAAAGGATTTCTGGGTTCAACATTCTGTTATAATATTATAAAAGAAATTGATATTTATTAATTTTTAATAATATTAATAAAAACAAATTTCTTAGAGTCGCAGCTGATCGTGCGAAGCAATGCGTAGACCAAGTATACATAACAGCTGACAAGGTGCAATTAGACACAAAGGAACATTTAAAAACACGGGCTAATGTTGTGTATCGTTGGAAGGCAGAATTAGAACATGCGATCGCTGCTATTGCAGAAGAGATGGAATTGTTAGAAGCCGAGCGTCGCCGTGTACAGCGATCTTTATCGATATTGACCATCCCTTTGTCTATCGCAAATGAATCTTTGCAGTTACGCTCCTTTCGTTTAAACTCTGATCTCGTCCGTGATAATGTCGAGGAACAGCTCACGAAGGTTAAATTTCGGATGAATTTATCAAAACAATGCCGCTTTCTCGAGTTTCTTTATTCTGCGTTACATTCCAGGAAATAGCGCTTTGTACCGAGATACGAGATTTACTGAGGAGAACTTACGAGCAGATCGAAATGCAAATGGCCGAATTGAAGTCTGCGAAAGCGCAGGCGGAGAATGATTGGTCTGATAAAATTCATACTTACAATCTAGACTCCATATGTGTGAATTTATCTAACGATTCTCCGCTTCTATTATGGAAAGCTGGAGCTACGAGATTTCCAGCTGAGTGAGTTTGCATCATTTTATAGGTAAAACAGGCAAAAGAACGTTGCGACTGTAAAAAAATGTTAACATAAGAAACAGCGATGATAATAGTAACAATAGATGTATCTGTATATTTGTTTTTCTTTTGCTGTTTCGAAGTAATATACAACTTTTCTATTTTTAACGTTGAATCTTTGATGTAATCAGTTTACATAATCACTATTTTTCTTTTTATTTATTCATTTCAGGCAATCAACTCCTACAAGTTACGATCATTTCACCCAAGAGGTATTAGCTAATGGTGAAGCTGCTAAACAAAGATCAATAAAATTCAGGTCCACCTTGAACGATATATATACTAATTCCATTAAAGATTTACGCGATCAAGCGACTCGCGTTGACATTGCACTTGCAAACAATGTGGAACTCACACAGGATTGTCTTCAGCAACTAGAGAATGAATTACTTCGCGTAAGATCTATGAAGACAACAAAAGGCAACAGACAAAAGTTTTATATAAAACAGAGAAAATAAAACATTTTTATTTTTAGTGCTTGCATGAACTAGCAAATACAGAAAAGTTGATTGAGACACTTCGGGGTTCAACGAAGGGATTAAACAACGGTATGAAATTAGCACAAACGAGATTAGATAATAGATTGAATCGACTCAATGTTGAAAGTTGTCGAGATGCACCTCAATTTGCGTAAGTCATTGAAAAAGAAATGATCATTTAACTGATTTAATAAATAGTATTAACGGAATATTATCAAAAAAAAAATTTTTATTTCATTTAGTCTTATCGAAGAAGTGAAATCGCTTGGCGAACATACTTCTGCTGTATTGGCAGAATTAAAACGCGCTGAAGAGGTTCAAGCAGAATTAGTCAAGGCAAGAGGCATCCTTGAACATGAAATAATGGTAAAACGGAAGACTTTACATATAGACAAGGAACGAGGTCGACTATTGCGTACATTCTTCCCTTCTACTACAGATTTGGCTGGATTTTAAAAAATTAAATATGTATAATGACACACAAAATGTCAGGAAATTAAAACTGAATTTATTAAATTTCATTCACATTTACTTTATTATTATCATGCAGCTTTCAAAAATAAAAAATATATAATATAATATATGCGATTTATTTATCATTAGCATTTAAGGATGCATTAGATGTACAATCCCTGCAAAGAAAATTAAATTTGGAAGTATGTTTAATATTTACACTTCAAATAAACTACATTCACGGAAAAGTTGTGTGAATAAGATTATATTTTTATTTAATAACACATTTTTATAGTTTATTTATTTTATTTATTATTATTTTTATTG